GCTTCGGTCGGTTGCCTTTGACTTGCTTTGCACTCCGTTCGTCGTCGTCCGTCCGTTCGGGTGCCTGTCAGGTATTTAGGTCTCCGACCGCAGTGTGCGAGCCATGGCTTCCTAGCCTTCATCGAGTTCTGAGAGATCGCGTTCTCCGTGCCGCCCGGCTTTGTCCGGCGGTACCGCAGGACCCGTCTCTGCATCTTGGGTGTCTGCTCCACCTCTCCGCCCGTCAGGACCGGAGCTGGTGGACAGTCCACTTCCAGGCGCGCCCCCGGCCCCTGGTTTTTCCGTTGTTTGCTATCGTGCCAGGTCACGATTCAAACGACGAGCCGTTCGGTCCGTGGCTCAGGTTCTTCCTAGCTCCGACCGTTGTTGCTCGTGCGGCCCTCAGGTCCTACGAACACTCCGAGTACAACGGGAGGTGCCCTTGGCTTTCCCGTTTTGCTCATTGTTTTCTTTCCCGGCCGCAGGTATCACTACTCCGCCCCGCGCGAGTGAACGATCTCCTGCTATGCCGCCCGAGGACCGACTTTGCACTTTGCTGGTTTGTCCTTTGCTGCTGCCTGCCGTGTTGGTTGCTTCAGCCTTGAGCGACCTTGCGCAGCTGCCTTCTCAAGCATCCTTCGCGATCTTTCAGTTCTTTTGTGCTCCTGTGCTGCACCATGGCCACCGGTCCCGCTTCCAATGCTGCGGTGGCGATGACTGACCCCGGCCCGTCCGTCCCGTCCCCAGCCACGGTGGCACCAGGACACGCAGCTTTGCCGCCCGTCTCCGACGTGCTCGCCGAGCTGCTCTCCTTTCCGGACGAGACCCTTTGGCCGGCTCTCCGTGATCTGGTTCCGGAGGATCTGATGAGGTTCCATGATCTCATCGGCTCCGCCTTTGCCGACAGGTCCCGGACACCAACATGACTGGTCCGCCCGCTGGCGGTGGCAACTCCGACCTCCTCGACCTCGGTGACGATGGTCCGCCCGCCGCGACGACTGTGCCAGACGTTCACCCGCCCGAAGTCACGCGCCGATCTGGCTATGCTGAGGGCGGGCCGTTGCCCAATCTGGGCAACCAAGAGCACTGGAACCCGGCATGGCTACGCCAACTTGACCCGTCCGACCTGGCCCCGGACACCTACGAGTGGGTGGATGTCGCTCCGCCCCTCCCGCGCGCCATGGCTGACAATGGTCCGTGGTCCAACCGTGAAGGGTGGAGGATCCGTGTCTGCTCGCACTTTCCGCTCTCTCCGCAAACAATTCGCCGCCCGGGCTGCTGGCCGTATGCAGACTTGTTCTGTATCCGCCCGGCCGACCACCCGAGTTGGCTTGAGCGACAGATTCCGCCCCAGCCCGTTTCACATCCTCGCATGTATGCGACCGGTATTCCGCGAACACCCACGGCTTTCGCTGTGTGGGGTTATGCCTCTGCCCGGTCATGTTCGGCGAAAGGGCCCCTCATGAGCAGCACACCTGCATCAATTGCCTTAAGGGCCACTGAGCTCCGCCCGACCGCATCTTCCGTTGCAAAATGTGTCCTGCGAGCTCGGTTCCTTTTGCCTTTGCGGTTTCTTGAGCTTATCTTATCTTTGCCTGCTGTCAGGACTGCCGCCGACCGTCTTCGCCGTCCAGGTTGGGATCGCCGTCTGAGACGCCTAGTCATGCTGCTGTTCAGCTGCGCAAAGTTTTGCAGGCAGGCTCCTTTGCCGTTAGTTCCGATGTCCGTCTGCAGTCACCCGTCCGTGCCCCGCGTCCGGATGGTTGTGTGCACTCGCCACTCGCCCTTGCAATGCGGCCGTGACTCTGCGTCCTGGCTTGACGATGCGTTGCGTTCGCCCTCTCCCTCTCAGCCTCTGGTTAATACTCCGCCTTCTCAACCTGGCTCTTCTTCTGTGAGCGGCTTCGAGGTCGTTTGTTCGACTGCCCCTTTGGACCCTTTGCGTGCCCGCCCGGCTTTGGCGGCTGCTGTGCCTCGCACACTTGTGCCTCGAGCCGCCCGCCTACCTGCGTTCGCGGCTCCCACTCCGGGTCCTGCTGCTTGCCCTCGGCGGTGGGCTGATGGTCGGCCCAACTCTGCTTACCGCTCGCGTGGCTTCGAGGAGGCCCGCCCATGCACATCGTTGTCTCCCCCTTCCTTGCATACTCCTGTTTCCTCCTCGACCTTCTCATTCTCACCGCCTTCTGTTTCTTCGGCACTTCCAGCTCCGTCTCTCCCTCGGGGTACCATGCCGGCGCATTTGTTGCCACCCGCGTCGCGTGACCACCCACGTTCAGCGACAGCATGACGGGCGTGGTCGGGGTAAGTGGTCGCGGATTCTCTGCTCAGAGAATCCGCGACCACTTGCCCCGACCACGCCCGTCATGCTGTTGCTGAATGTGGGTGGTCTTTTTGCCCGCGGATTCTCTGAGCCATTTTGGCGTTCTGGCTGTGAGACGCACAGGACGACGTCCGGTGCGTTTTCCAGTCCACCCTTTGTTCTTGGGCGCACAGGACGACGTTCGGTGCATCTAACCTGGGAATGTTTCGAATTGAGCGATACCCAAAACCCTAAACACTGAAGAACCCTAAGCCCTAAACCCTAAACCTTAAACCCCAAACCTGAGACGCACAGGACGACGTCCGTACCCAAAACCCTAAACACTGAACCCTAAGCCCTAAACCCTAAACCTTAAACCCTAAACCCTGAGCCCTGAACTGCAAAAGCTTTGGTTGGTGTTTGCGGCAAGATCGCGGGATGTTGTTAATTGAAGAAATATCTAACTTTGGCTGTGTCTTGGTCCCGAGTGCGCTTCTTGTTGGCAAACTCTGTTTCATGGCAACCAAGTACCGAGGGCTTCTCTCGAGTGCTGACTTGCTGATGCGGAACAGCTTTATCAGGTACACGCAAGTAGGATCATGTGAGAATGTTGAGGGGTTTATATATGTTTCTGCTTTAGGGCGGGGTTTGGCCTTTACCCGCGCCGTACACCCTGATGTCCTTGATGCTGTTCCCACTTTCTACTCTGGCCCATATAAGCCATTAGCCATGTTTCCCTAGGGGTGTCTTTTCACACTTTCAAGCCTTTGTCTTCATGAAAGCGATGGCTATTTGACCATAGTCGTAATTTGTCAAGCTAAGGGAAAACTTCACAGTGCCCGCGGCGTACGCCCTGATGTCCTTGATGTTGTTCCCATTCTATACTTTCTACTCTGGCCCAAATAATCCATTGGCCATGTTTCCCTAGAGGTGTCTTTTCCCGAATGCGTAGCAAAAGGGTTCTCGTTTGAAGGTTGGGGGTCTGGGGGTTAGGAGTTGACGTGGAATGCGTGCGCAGCGTCCGCAAGCGTTCGCAAGCGTCCGCAAGTGTTCGCAAGCGTCCGCGAGTGTCGGATTCGGCTGGGAGCCGAAAATCGTCGCGAAACGCAGAGCTGTCGTCAGTTTTTGGACCTCGCGTTCCAAAAGTGTCAACAGTCACGGGGATGGAGGGGGTCCTGGTCGCGAAACCTGGAACTGATAATCCTGCTGGTATCGGATCCCGGACTTCAACCCGTCGAAGCTCGCTGAGTCTTAGGCTTAAATCGGCCAAAGGTATCAACAACTTCCAGCCGTGGCAGCCTACAGGAGCCTGAACACAGCATGTGTAGCATAGAGCGCCCAAGCATCGCTCCAACCCTCATCGCCCAAACATTCAGAAACCATAAACCCGAAAGCATGTGCCCTAAGCCCTTTCTCCTTTGAAGATTCTGGGCTCTCGCTGCCGAGCATTCCGGACCTCTGCGGACTGCAGTTGCAAACGCCAGTGGATTCTTTGGCTCGGAGTTTTTGTATAATCATTCTAAAGCGTTGCGTAGTAGGGGTTCTTGAGGGTTTTGTTTCAGGAATAATACGAGTCGTCATCGAAATAGGCTATAAGATACACCAAACCAGCGCAGACTCAGGCAGGTAGCTGGCTCGCAGTTATCTCTTGCTCAGAATTTGGGGTGTGATGTGGATTGGATCCTAAATCGAGGTTGGTTTTGAGTAGTAGCTGTAGTAGTAGTAGTAGTAGTAGTAGTAGTAGTAGTGGTAGTGGTAGTAGTAGTAGTAGTAGTAGTAGTAGTAGTAGTAGTCGTTGTAGTAGTAGTAGCAGTACTTGTAGCAGTAGCAGTAGCAG